CTTGCTCCCACACACTCCTCAGACATTTGATCCTATTATATAAAGCTACAGCCTTTTAATCTCTAAAAATAACCAAACAGAGGTAAATACGGTATTCCTTACCAAGAGTATTTATCTCCTAAATGCTTTCGGCAAAGCTGATCACTCCCTGGGCAAAGAACACACAATCCGACGTCATTGTCATTCAAGTGGAGAGAAACGGGTCACAAGTGATTCTGCTTCATTTTCCAGCATAGAGTGAGTCTAGGAGATCCTGTGAAATCCCAGGGACTCACTCAACTTGGCCCTTCCACAGTGGGAAGAATTTTCCTCCTCTAATTTCACCTGGTCCTGCCGGACTATTTATTAAAAATGTATATTTTATATCAGAACAGGGTATCAAGTAACTTCTTGGCAAGAGTGGCCGCATTTTCATAACCTATTAAGATTCTTTGTGGAAATTTAAATACCTCTGTCAGGCAAACAAAATCACATCGGGAATCATAGAATTTCATTGCTAGAAAGAGAAATTAGATTAACCAACTCTCATGCCTTTCCTAGAAACCTCGATAAACTAGAGGTACATTTCAACAGTTCCTTATTTCCAGTCAGAAGGGGCCTCACAAGAAATCTAAATGAATTTATATCAAAGAAAGCTATACTTGAGGAAAGCCCTTCAATATACAAAATTGCATATATATATATATGTATATATATATATATATATACATATATATATAAATAGTTTTCATATTAGAAAGCAGTGGCTGTTTAAAATCAAAAGAGCTAGGAAAACCCAGTGGTAGAAAACCATGACAAGTTCAACACCGCCAGGCTTCAGCCCCCTTAAAACATCCTTGTCCTTTATTAATATTTAGTGGAAATGTAGGATTGCAGATGTGTGTTAGGTTGGGGTTTTATATTGGGAGGCGGGCAAAGTAGACAGGTTTATTACAGCCATGAAATATTAAACAAGCACCAAGGAACAGTAGTTTGATGTCCTGGGATATCCAGGGAGCAGCCAGACCCGAACGTCAGCTGCACAAAAGGGACCCTATCTGTTTACATTATCCCTTATTAACACCTGCGAAGTTTTGGGTTACATCTTCCGGAGGCATGCCACTTGTGCTGGGTAATTTCACAGGGAAACAGGATTGCAGAGCTCTCTGCCTTCCCCCAGACAAGTTCGAAGGAGTCTGAAAAATTCTCTCAGGAAAACAGTGCTTTGCTCTGAGGCTAGGACCTAGCTGCCCCCCATCTGCCCCAAGTCCGCCCCAGGTCTACAGAAATCTCGCCTGCCTGGGATTGCACAGTGCTGCTACCGTGTTCTGACTACAACACTGAGAGAAGCATGAAATTCCAAAAATTTCTCTGGCATCACTGTGAAAAGATCATACTTCCAAAAAGGGCAGGATTGCATACAGGGTGCGTACCGAGACCGCTCCCATTTCAATGTATGTGAAAGAGTACTTCAAGGCTGCCCTGGGTTTCAAGATAGAGCTACCAGGGGCAAGGAGGTTTGGCAAGGCTACATGTATTACAGAATACAGTTAATTCAACTTTTGAAAACTGTAAAGGGCAGAAGGGGAGAAAACGTCCTTTTTCCAACAGAATGTGCATGATCTATCATCTCTCATCACGGCTCCTTCTCTGTGTAGAAATTCTTCCATGGCCACACACCTATTTCAAAGATAGGTGGATGATTTTGCAAACACTTTTCAAATTCAGGTCATTCTCACCGATTTTATTGATGTTTGAATAGGCCCAAACTCAGGCTGGGTTTTTTGTTTTGTTTTTTTTCCTTTCCGTGACCTCACCCTTCCCCCACCGCAACTTTGTACACACAGAGCCACAAGATCGGAGGTAAAGTTGCATTATATAAAAGTTGTTGGGTGGGTTGATTAAGAAGTCAAGAGAAGCACGATTTGGAGAGGCTAGCTAGATTTCCTGGTTTAAAAAGTCATCCTCCCATGTGATGCTGTGACGCTGGCCTAGACTTCAGGAGAAAGACAACTTTCCAGTGAAGTTCCCTCCCCTCCAAAGGACACCTCAAGCCCATAAGACAATCTGGGCACGTCCCAGTGACTGCACGCCTTGTGCTGTTCTGAAGACTTATTCGTTCCCTCCAATCCGAGCACGGATCATTTTGTTAAATACCGACTAGTATTTTGTCATTGGAGCGAAGAATTTCAGAAATGGTGTTAATATTTAATCACATTAGTACTGGCATGTTTTATGGCGTGACAAAATAAAATATTATTACAAAAATGGGCTTTGCCTGCAAGGGGGGTGTAGGAAAAAAATGCTTGCTGGGGCTAGTACCTAGAGAAGGTCTATTCAAAGCCACCGGACACCACTGCTCAAGGCTAATGGGACCAGGAGCATGTTTTTTAAGGAAATGCAGAACGTTTTGCTTTAATTTTTTTTTTTCTGACTCTATTTCGAAGTGGCACACTTCACTCTGATTTTCAGCCAGGGGACTCAGGGGCCTGTAGAAAGCTCTGTGTACCTATTTATACAACGTGTGCAGATGGAACTGCAGGGTGTTATCATAATGAAAAGTTTAATCATCCTTATTTACTACCAGTGAGGGAGCAGGATTCAGATGCAGATAACTTATAAAGCCTTAACTAGCAACCCCAAGGCTACAGAAGCTTCGAGTGACCTCAATTCGCTGCTTTATCGAGGAAACTGTCCTTCCCACACCATACAGTAGAAAACAAAGGAGGTCAAGTGGGTGTCCCTGCTGGTGCTTATAAGACAGCCAGCCCTGCTGGTCCCTGATGGAAGTCCCTATCGTCCGGAGTGCAGGGAAGGGCTTCCTTGAGCTTACAGAGGAAATCAACCCAAAAGTGACTAGCCTCCTGTTTCCAAAAACATATTTTCATTCATCTGACTGTGATGATGACACAAACAAAACATTTCTTTGGTGACATTTCTTCATTCACAGCCTGCATCTTCGTCTCTAAAGGAAGGACTGGAAAGTGGCTGGAGAGAGACAATTAAAAATCTCAGTAAACCGGCTCTGTCCACCTAGTCTACTAAGGCCCTTTAAAAGGCCTGAAGGTGAAATGCTACTGTTTTTCTCTCCATGAATTCTTTATATCAGGGTGTTTTCTTAAAAAAAAAAAAAAAAAAACTTTTCTCACCTCATTTTGGCCAATACGTTCTTAATTATTTGGGGAGGGGGGAGGATCGGGAGGAGGGGGGAGGGGCGATCAGGCCAGGCCAGGTAGAAGTGACAGGGGCTGAGATTTGTGCTAACCAGCTATCGATCCAGCCAGATCGAGATGTTTCGTACAAGAAAATAAAGGGGTCGGGGGGAGCCAGCAGGCTGCCGTGTCCAACTCGATTTTTAAAAGTGGGGGAGGGGAGAAGAAGCTGAGGGTCCCAAACTAACCAATTTATGGCCTTGCCTGGGAGAAGCCTGGAGAATGCTGATGCTGGCCACAGTGTCTGCTGTGCATGCTAAACACCCGGCTTCAAATGAGAGAGTGCGTCCCGGGCGTCCCGGGCTGGGCAGTAACCGCGGAACAAAGAGAAAAAGCAGAGAGGCCGCATTCATGAATTAGAAAACCTAAGCGGGAAAGCTACCCGGGATGGGCGCCTAGAAAGCCCCAAGTTCTGAACCACCCAACTCCCAGCCCACTCCCCTTTCCTTTCCTGTCCCAGCCCCCACGCCATTCTCCTAAAACCTACCCTCACCTTTAATCCGGAGTCGAGACAGAGCAGGAAGTGGGGAGGATGAGGGAAATGAAGGCAGAGGAGTAAAGAACTGTAAAAGAATCACTTCGAGGGGGGCCGCGTTTTTAAAGACAAGGTTAAATTGCCAGCCACTGGTTCCATGGTGCTTGTCTAGGGAAACCAAGGGAATTCAACTACAGTTACCTGATTTTAAGAAGTCATTAGAGATATAGATACATACACACACGTATCTATACACACACACACACACACACACACACACTTTTTTATATATATATACATTGTATTGTAAAGCTCCATTCAAATAAAATAAATATCTACAGCAGCCCAGTCATCCTTAGGTTAGAAAGAACTGTTATTACTCTAACTGGAAAGGCAGCCCATTTACTAACCCCACCCCTCCCACCTTAAAGGCCTCCAGGCCTGGTAGGGAGGGGGTGTTTCGAATGCAAACGAACGCTGGGACTGGACATCTGTCACCAAAGCCAAGCGAGATATTGACAAACCCGGATCCTTTGTGTCTTAAGAATATATATCCATATCCCCATACACAAATGATGTCCTGACGGAGTGGTCTGGTCTCTGCCAAGCCAACCCCACCGCAACACACCCCCTCCCCAGCCCCACCAAATGTCAAGGAGATGCGCCCTGAAAAGGTTCCCTGCCTCCTGCCACCCCCACGGGTCTCTGGTTTTTCAGTGAAACTCTAATAGTTAAGAAGAGACAAAATAACTATTCATTAGGAACAAATGTCAAATTAGGCGTTGCCTCGGAGTGATGCTGCCAACAGCAGAGCTGCTAACTTTTTTTTCTAAAGATGCTGGCACCTAAAGCAACCAGAGCTAGAGACTGGCTAACTAGGAAAAGGTGGGAGGCATTCACACAACTTCCCAGGTGTCCTGCCAGGGAGGTCTGCACACAGCTGCTGAAAGTGGAAGCAGCCTGACTGTTGGGGGTGGGGAGGGGTCTCGGTTTGAAAGGGAAAGGACAAGTCAGCTAAAACTGGGGGTGTGGGGAGGCTGGGCGGGGTACTCTACAAGATCCCCAAAGTACTGCCATCTACGTTTTTACCACCCTGTGGCACTAGAATCTACCTGGCAGCATGTGGGGGGATTGGGGGCGGGGGGGGGGGCGGTGGTGGAATCTGTCCTCACAGCCCTTGGTGTAAGCAAAGGTGTGATAACCAGCTCTGATTGGGGATTAGGAGGGCCCGTGCCCTCCAAACCTCAAGGGACCCCAAGGGGCGGAGGCTAAGGCCTGTACTGGGGATGGGGCGGGTCATCCCGGAAGTGAGAGGAAAACAGGTCCGCATATACCTTCTTTGCTGTTGGGGTTCTGGGGTTTGGCCTTCTCCCAGGGAGCCAACGCCTTGTCGTCGTCTGCGCTGTCCACCAGGGCCTTGTCAGCAGGGCAGGTACCAGGCAGCGCTGTGCTCTGCCATCAGCGAGTCCAGGTCGATGGTGCTCATGGCGCTCTTGACCGCCTCGGAGCAGCAGCTGCCCAGCTCGCTGTCGCCATTCTGCGCCCCTGAGGCCCCGACGGCGCACTCACCCTTCTTGCCACCCTTCAGCCCCAGAGGCTGGTCCTCGGAGATGCTGAACTGCTGCCTCTGTAGCTGGATCTGCGCCTGAAGGATCTCCAGGGGGTGGATCTCGTCGGGTGGCGGGGCGCCGCTGCTGCTCGTCGGGGTGCGAACCTGCTCGAGGCTCGGGGTGCCCGGATGGCCCGGGCCGCCACCGCCGCCGTAGCTGTCAGGGGTCGAGGTAGAGTTAGACATGATGCCCAGGCCGAGCGCGGGCGGGGGCGCCTTCGGTCCGTGCTCCCCGGCGCCTACCCCGCGGGGAGGGAGTTTGGGCGAGCCCGTCACCAGGGGACTCCTGCTCGCCTTAACAAGTGCCTGGGGGTTGTCAGAGCTGGACGACACCTCGTCCTCATTGGCGTAGCTGGTGCTCACCTCGTCCGAGGCGAACTCACCCACGTGCGGCGAACTACCGTCCGACTTGGCCCCGCCGTCCAGGGACGCCATGAGGTCCGGTTGATCCCCCAGGAGCAACTCAGCCCCTTTCCCCCACGACGGCGACGTGAGCGCCTTTTCGTGGGGAGTCGGTGCCCCGCGCGTCTCGCCCGCGGAGCTGCCCCCGACGGCTGCGCCTGACGCTTGCTGCTGCCCTGGGCTCACCCCAGGTGCGCCCCCGCTGTCCGGAGCCGCCGAGTACTTGTCAAAGAAGGTGCCAGGGCTCACGTGACCACTGTCCCTTTTTCTGCGACCCCGTCCCCGGCCGCCGCCCCCGGGGACCGACTTGCCGTCATTCCCCGACGTGGATTCCAGGGTGTAGTTGGGGGAGAGGCTGGTGCCGTCCCCCTGTGCGGGCGGGTTGGGCGGCCCCGAGGCTTTGGAGCCGCTGCTACCCGTCCCGGACGGGCCTCCGGGTCCTGGGGCCCCAGGAGCAGTCCCTCCTGGGAAGTAATCCGAGCCCGGGTTGCCGGCCACTGCCGCGCCGTCGGTCTCGTTCTGGCTCAGTTTCCTCTTGCCCTCGGGCGGGTTCTTCTTGTTGAAGGTCACGTTGAGGTTGGGGGCCCCGAGGCTGGCGATCATGTTCTGGCAAGCGGTGGAGAGCGCAGCCAGGCAGCTCTGGCCAAACAGGTTGTCCTTGGAGCTGGGCTTGTTGAAGGAGCCCAGCGAGAGCGCACCCAGTTTACTGGCCGAGGTGCGCTGGCTGGGCTGGAAATCAGGCTGCGGCGGGTAGGCACCCCCGCCACTGCCGCCACCGGAGCTGCCACCGCCCCCTCCCGCGCTGGGGGGCGAGTTCACGCCTGGACCGCTGTGCGGCGTGGCCTGCCGGCTCGCTGCTCCAAACGGAAAGCCCGGCTGGCCCCCGAGCGCAGACGTAGCGAAGTCCGGCGGTGGGGGCCGGCGCTCGGAAGCAGCGCTGGGGAGCCCCACGCCGGCCCCGGGGGACTGCAGCTGACCCAGGCCGCCCAGGCTCCCCCCGAACTGCAGGCCCGGTGAGGGCAGCGCGGGCACGTGGCCCTCTCCGGGCATCCTCATCGGCTCCTGCAGAGGGCCCCGGAATAGCACCCCTGAGCCAGGCGGAGGAGGGGGCGCCAGGCTGGGGTCGTGCGGGCCACAGTCAGCGGGCAGACCCGAGCCGCCCATCCTACGGGGCAGCAGGTCTCCGGGCGGCGGGTGCGGACCTGAGAACCACGCGCTCTCTTGTGCCAAGTGCGGCGCCTGCTGCTCGAAGGTGCCCAGACGCCCGGTGCCCGTGCTGCCGCCTTCCCGCTCGAAGTTCGGCTGAGCCAAGCCGCCCACCGGGCCGCCGTGCACCAGGCCGCCCTGGCCCACGTCCCCGGGGTGGCCTAGCTGAGCCAGGTTGGGCTGGCGCAGCCGCTGCTGCTGGTTCCGCGACGCCATCTGCTTAATCATGAGGGCCGCGTTTTGGCGCTGCTGCTGCTGCTGCTGCTGTTGCTGCTGCTGTTGCTGTTGCTGTTGCTGCTGCTGCTGCTGCTGCTGCTGCAGGGACTGGTGGTCCGGGGCTGGATGCTGCAGGGGCGGCCCCGAAGGGAAGCTGTCTGGCACGGGCGGTGTGAACTCGCCGGGTAGGCCTGGGTAGGCGGAGGGGGAGAGGTGGTTGTCCAGAGCGCCGTTGTGCATGCTGCCGTTCCACGAAGCGCAGCGGTCCACTCCCGCGCTGCCCGGGAAGTCGAAGCGCGGCCTCTTGGCCACGTTCATGTAGGGGGGCGCGTCGAAATGCTGCAGCCGCTGGTTGGGCGCCTGCTGCGGAGGAGGATGCTGCATGTTGAAAACAGGCTCGGAATAAGGGTGCATGCTCCGGTTCTCCAGCCGGTGGATGGGGTATTCGAACTGCGCGTGCTGGCTGGGCAGCATGGGACCTCCGTCCTGCAGGCCGCCGTTGGGCGTGCCCGCCTCGCCCTGCTGGGGCCGCGGGAGAGCAGGCGGGCACGAATTTTGTCGGACTAGAAGCCCGGGTGGCGGTGGAGGCTGCTGCTGTGGCGGCTGCTGCGGGGGCTGCTGCTGAGGGGGTGGCGGGGCCTGCTGGGGAGGCTGCATTAACGGGTGCCTGGAACCCACTGAAGGCTCCAGACCCACAGGCATCTTTCTGGCCCCACCGAACCTCTCAAAGAACACACCATGCTGCTGTTGCTGCTGCTGCTGCTGCTGGGGCGGCTGCTGCTGAGGCTGCGGCTGCGGCTGCTGCTGTGGCGGCTGGGCGTGCATTTTGGACAAGCCCACCATGCCCGCAGCTCTGGGCATGGCCGAGGCGCCCGGGAAAGCGCCCCCGGGAACCTGGCGACCCGCTGCATAATGAGGCAGCTGCCCTTCGGAGTCAGAGGGCGAAAACATGTCAAAATGTCCCGAGGGCGCCTCGCCCGGGTAATTGTATTCCAGCGAGTCGACGGCTCCTTGGTTCGCCACCCTCCGGGGCTCCAGACTGTGGGAATCGGAGCCGCTGGAGGAGGGCAGGCCGTGGAAGGAGGCGGCTCGGTTAGGGCTCTGGTCCAGCGGCAGGCATGGGGCCGGCACGGCGTGGCCGGAGGCACCCGAACTGTGGAAGTCCGGGAGGTTCCCCGGTCGCTGGGGGCCGAAGCTCTCAGGCCCCTGGCTCTCCGCCATGTGCTCATAACCCTCGGCGAAAGGCGGCTGGCTGCCCAGGCCGCCGGCTGCGCCGCCGTAGCCCAGTAGGCGACCCCCGTGCAGACACGAGGCCCCCGGGTCCGGGCCGCCGAAGTTGCCCCCAAAGTGGGGGTGATGCTGGTGGGGATGATGACTTCCCGGGTGGCCGTGATGAGGCTGCTGGCCGCCAAAGAAGCCGTGCACAGGCTGCGCCTGCAGCCCCCCTGCGTGCAACTCCGAGTGGCCGCGGGCGTGGAAGCCGTAGGGCTCCATGTTCATGCCCAAGATCGGGGGCTCGCCCAGCGCGCTCAAGGCAGGATCCACAGGGCCAGGGGGCCCCCCCGTGTGGAAAGCCGGGGCCTTAAAGTGGGTGTTCATGGTCAGTCCGGTCTCGTTAAAGTTCCTCTCGCCCTGGCCAGCGTTCCTGCTGTTGATCTGGGGCTCGAATTGGTCCAGCCCAAACATACTTGGCGGGGGGCAGAGGGGATCAATAGGGCATGACAGCCTGCTCTCTGCGGCGCGCCTCCGGCCAGCTACTCGTTCCAGCCCAGGATTGGGCGCTCCGGGAAGCTCAGCACCGCGGGGGCTCAATGTGCACCTCCACCCCGCCCGATGTGAGGGACTTGGGGGTGGGAGGGTGGATCAGCTCCTCTCCCGAAGCTCGGGCTCTGCCCGGGGAGGGCCTCTCACATCTTGCGAGGCCGCGCGGCCTCTAGGAGCCGTGTTGCGGGTCCCATGCCCCGGGCTGTTGTCACAGCCGCGGGTGGGTCTGCGGGGAGGGGACGAAGCCGCGGATGAACGTAGACAAAAAGTTAAGTGGGGGAAAAGGGGAGGGAAGGGGGATGGGAGAGCAGAGCGATCACCTTCTCAAGTCCGACTGGGTCTGTTGGGGAGCCCCAAGACGCCGCCTGCAGCCTCCCGGAGTCCGTGGCAGAGCTGCTAAGGGCAGGGGAGGGAGACCCTTCAAAGCCGCGGCTAGCGCCGGGCACCGACAGAGCGGTCCCTCCCCCCGCCCCCCGGAGTCCCCGCGCCCCGCAGCCGGAGCCTCCACCGAGCACGATCCGCTCGCACAGTCCCCGTAGGCTCCGGGCGAGCGGCTGCTGCTTCTTCAGTGGGTCGGAGGACTGGAGGCTCCGCTCGGCATCGCCGGTGCCGGCCCCCGAGCCGAGGTCGCAGAGGGGCTGGGAGGCGGCGGGCGGCGGGGGTTGGAGCAGAGGGTCGGGGGAAGGCGCGGCTCCTCTGCTCGACAGCGGGTGCGTTGCGCCCGGCGCGCAGCTTCGCAGCCACGTCCGCCGCCTGCCGCTTCTGTCCTCCGCCGTTGGGTGTCTGAGTTCGCTGGAGTCTCCGCGCACCGTCGCGGGCGCGGGAGGGCAGCGAGGCGAAGGGTCGGGTCGCTCCCAGGCTCCGGTTCCCTGCCTCCGCGCCGAGGTGCTTCGCGAGTCCCTCTCGGACCCGAGGGAGGGGCGGACGCGGGTCGGGGGGCCACGCCGGGCGAGCGAGCCGAGGTGTTCCGGCTGCGCTCTCCGAGCCTGGAATCGGGGGGGCGGGGGCAGCTCTGGGGGGTCTGCGCGCCCCTCTCCCGACTAGCGGGGGTGCTCTGCGTGGGGCGTCGCGAGGGTCTCGGCTCCCCTCTCTGTGTCTGCCTCTCGCCCAGCGCCGGGAGAAGCAGCAACAAGTTTTGCATTTCAGCAATCAATTTCAGCCATTACATTTGCGCCAATCAGCGCCGCCCAAGCTCCGGGCCCGGGGCGGGGCTCGCTCTTAAGGTGGTCCGGGGTCCTGGCTGCCGAGGCCCCAGCCGGGAACCCGCACTACCCCGGCTCCGGGGTCCCCCGCGCCCGCCTCGCCTCGGGGTCCGGCGTCAGTGCGCTGGGGGCGCGCCCTGGTCTCCGGGCGCCGCGGGCTGGAGAGGGTGAAGGCGGAGGAGAATGGCGGGAGCTTGGCTTTGTTCACCCCCTTCCCATTCACAGCGTTCCCAACTCCCCACCCCCAACTGGAGCGAGACCCGCCGGGTGGGCAGGGGGCGGGGAGGTGGGCGGTGAGCCGTACGGGGCGCTCAGACAATGAGGTCGCCAGGCAAAGCCCCTGGACTCGCCACGGAAAGTCGCTAAGTGTCTGCTGCGCTCCGGCTGCGGGGTGAACGCTCCTCGGTTCTCCGCTAGCGGCGCCCAAGTTAGCCGGCCCTGGGATTTTCTTGGAGGGTAAAGCAGACGGGGAACCCCGAAGTTAGGGTTCTCCTCGACAAACCTGGGCGCCTGCTCACTCCTCCGTCACTAGGGCGCTCACGAGTGTTCCCCATCCCCGCTGCCTGGGGTTCCCGGTTCTCACCCGCCGGCGTAGGGGCTCCAAGGAGCCCTGGTCACTCAGACACTTTATGGGGGAGCACATCGGTTGAGCTCAGTAAGCGGAGCGACTAGCGAGGCGGCTGGGAACCCCCGAGAAGACACGCGCGAAGAGGGCGCACCCGCCGGCCCGCACACCTTGCCCCCGGGCCACCTGGTCCCAGGCTCAGGCCCTCTGCGGGTGCCAGGTCGGCCTCCTTAAGAGAGCAATTAAACTGAAGAGGCCGAGGAACGGAATTGGGCTGTGAGACGAAAATCAATAGGAGTAATTTAATATCTGCCCTGCTCTTTATGAAATATTTATCCCAATAATCTTAGTTAAAATGTTTAGATCTTCCTGATCCCCACCGAGGTTGAAATCTATCCTGCAATTAGAAGTTGGAAGTTAGCGGTGATGGAGGATAGAGGAGGTGTTTATTCTGTGCGCCTGTGTGCGTGTGCGCGCGCGTGCGTGTGTGTGTGTGTGTGTGTGTGTGGTGTGTGTGTGTGTGTGTGTGTTCCTCCCTAAAGAGAGTGTAGGGAAGGAGAGGGGAGAAGGCCTTTAATTTTCCTTGCCATAAAATAGCACGAGGTGATTTTGCTAGCAGATTCGCCTTCTTAGGAGAAGGGCGAAAAAAGAGCTTTCTTTGAAGTGGCCCTGATATCGCTATTAAATCTAAATAAAATTAAGCATGGTGTATAAAAATGCCTTTTCCCCCCACAAAAGAAAGTGTTTATCGCCCGAGTCCGTCTAGCGTTTGCTAAATTGCGCATGAAATCTGAAATGAAATAAACGTTATAATAAAACCAACCCCTGAGCCCTTTTTATTTAAAAACCTCAGATTAAGCACTCCACCGTTGCGGGCAGGAGTTAAAAAGTTACCACGTCGTACGCGCAGATTCATTGCTCCCTGGAGTTGTGGCTAGGAAGGCAGCGCTACCTATGCCAGAACCGACAAAGGGGGTGGATGGACTCCACTTTGGGCTAGCGGCGGAAATCCTAAGAAATTGCCCCCCACCAAAAAAAAATTTTTTTAATTAAAAATAAACAAACGATAAAAACCAACAAGTTTAAAACTCAGCCAGAGCAAGCTCAGATCCAAGATCCTTCCCCGGGGCCTTCCCGTTGTGGAAGTCTAACAGAAATATATATATTTTTTTCTTCTTGAAATTAAAAATGAAAATTACCCCCACCAAAAATGGGGTCCATAAATAAGCATGGGGAAGAAGTATTTGTACAGGGCGGTGGAGTTTTTAAAGGATTTTTCTGCAGGATCAGGTTGTTGGTCTGTGATTAAATATTGATTTTGTGTAATTAGTTTTCATGTGAACTATCCTCTTGCTGATAGCTTAGAGGTTTCAGAACTAGAAAAGAAATGGAATTGGACATGGAAATTATTACTTAGCAAAGTGACAGGGAAGGGAGGGCCAGAGAAAAGACTGAGACTTTGCTGATTTAGGCACAAAGAAATAAAGGCTTGGGCAGGCCTCCAGTGACACCCTCCACCCAGCGGCCTGGGACCCTGGGGGCTCTGGGGCTCTGGGGCTCCTGGGACAGAGCAAAGGGGATCTTGAACTTCCTGGACAAAACGGAGGAGGCAATAGGGGGGAAACATGGTTGTAAGGAAGAGGGCCCCACGTGGCCAAAGGCCTGGGCACCGGCCGCAGCACCGGGTCCCACGCTCAGTCTGCTCTCCACTATTGGTGTCTCCCGGGGCACCTACGAGTGTCTGTGTCTCTGTGTCTGGAGGAAATAGGGAAAAGTGGGGACCTGTCTGGAGCTTGGGGTGCTAAGAATGGCTCCCAGGCCTGAAGTCTGGGGAGACCTGGACCGGGTGTGTGCAGAGCTGAGGCGTGACTTCACACAGGGCTGGGGTGGGGGAAGGTCTCCAGCACACCTGGGCAGGTTTCCTGGGGAATAATTCCGTGTGCTCCGGGCGGGGGGAGGTGAGGGTGGGAGTATTTTTCTGGGGCTGTTTCCAAGAGTTCGCTCTACAAGGTGTGTGAGTGGCTGAAAGACGGGAGTGTTCGGGCCTGGTGGAGTTTCTGTTCGGGGTGCACGTCTGGGTCACCTTTCTTAACACCGCAAATGCTGTGCGGGTGTGTGGCCCACGTCTGCAGTTTGCGCTGTCGCTTGTGTGCAGGTGGCGGGGCATCAGCCTGTGCTTCTGTCCATGCCTGTGTGGGTGTGCGTGCGTGGATCTTTGGGTGTCTTGGGGCACATGCGCTGCCTGTCCCCCAACCCTGCGTTTCTGTGTGTGTGAGCCACCACGTTTGTGCCTGTGTGTGCAGCTGCCTCGCCCCTTCTCAGCCTGTATCTCTGCTCGAGTGTATCTGTTTTTCCTGCGAGTGTGAGGGCGTGTGCCTCACAGCCTGTGCCCATCTGTGCCCGGGTATGCGCCGGCGTGTGCGCCTCCACAGTGCGGGCGCCCCTGCGTGTGCCTGTGTGTGCCTTCTCCTGCAAGGTCCCGCCGTGTTGCTTTGGAACAGACACATTGCCCCCTAGCGCTCACACGAATTCAAAGTCCCCGCAGGCGAGAAGCCGGGAGCAGCAGGAGCCTCAGGGCCCTCTGCCCACCAGGCCTTTCTCCATCGTCCTCCCTCCCCAGGTCCCCCCTCCAGGGGCGCTGAGTGTGCGGGCAAAGGCCAGAGGAGGCCCCCTGGGCAAGGGAAGGAGGATACACAGCTGCATGGGGCACCAGAGCTGGACAGGGAGGTTTTAAGCTGGTGACAAGTGGGGAACTGCCTGGCCCCCAGGGAGCTGCCCAGAACACTCACCACTGATGTGGAGAGCCTGGCACAGCTCAGCTAGCCCAGGAGCCCCAGCCCAGCCTGCAGCCCCACCAGCAAACTTCCCACTCTACAGAAACACGAAGCAACCCGGACCCAATATCCTCCACCCATGAGACTCACTGGCATAGGGATCGGAGACAGTGCTTGCAGAGTGGCACAGAGTACGGCTCAGGACAGACATCTGCCCAGTAGGCCCCCAACACCAGCACAGACACACGTACACACTCACCTCCATAGCGTGTGGCTGTGTCAGCAAACACACGCACTCTCACACACACAGAGCAGTATCAGCATGTACTTACACACACACACCTCCATGGTGTGTGGATGTCAGCACACACACACAGAGAGCAGTA